AACACATTTGGTTCACCATTTCTCAGCCTACAGCCAAATCAAGCTGAAAACACAAGTTCTTATTCAAACACTAAAGAGTTAAACACCATCAAGTCTGGTACCTACTTTGGAACACTGAGTTTTGCAAGCAACCTCCTACAATATGAAATATGTTTTGGCTTTAAATCACTCACAAAGTGTTGATAAGCCATAAAAAATTAAACAATCATCATTTCTCAAGTTGTGCATAAATAAACATTTCATTTTGAAACTGTGAAACTGGGATTTGTACCATGCAAAGAAAGTCTTGTTTATAAAATCGCAATTCAATTGCTTCATCGACATTAAATGATCTTATAATGATTTGGTCGACAATTCCAGCCAATATCATAACACTGCTGCCTTTTTGTTGCCTCCTTTTAGCCACAGGCATGCCGGAATTGGATAAAATCCATCCTTTGGCACATTCATCAAAATTCACTCGAGATTTGTCGATGAAAATTACTTTAGAAAAGTTCATTTTCATGTATTTCTTGGCCCAATTTTGACGCTTTAAAATATTTGCTTTAGTGAGAGGAGGGTGGGTAGGAGGTTTTTTTACAGATACCAATTAATAAAGTATTCTACATGTTTTGTCTTTCTTGGCTCCCTCAATCCCAGCCTTTTCAAAGATCAAGTTTCTTTAACCCTTTCCCCGCAAAATGCTGGCAGGTTTCTTGGACAGAAACTGCCAGATGCTCAGGGCATTGTGAGCAGGTTCATTGTTGTGATGAAGCATCCATGATTTTTCCTGCCACAACTCTCGTTTCTTCTCGTGCACTGAGCAAAGAAAATACCTCAGGATCTCAATGTAGACTTGCCGATTGAAAGAGAGGCTACTTTAAAGATAAAACCATGTAGTTTGTTGTTTGAAACTGAAATAAATTGTTTGTGATACTATTCCCATTACTTTTCAGACAAACCTTGTATATAAGAGTGTACTGAAAAGGTCTCAGTCCAACTAATTTTTTTGTTTTTAAATGCCATATCCCTCCGGGGTGTTCCACAGATTATTTTATTTTTGACTAAACCAAACAGTTAACAATTCAAATCTAGTACTTTAGTTCATTTAGACATGACTTACAGCCAAGACGATATAGCAGATTGTTAGAACTGTAATTATAAGTACTAAAAATTGAAATTATAAGTCTTTATATTTTAACCTTAACTATAAAAAGCCTTAACTTATACTATTTTTGAAAGGTTTCTTCAGATAACGCAAGCAATTTGGAATTCTTGAATTGACGCATGAAATCATTCATAAATTGAAATAATTTATCACTTTGATATGATTACAAAAACAGACTATTTATCTATATATAAAATTCTGTGATTTCTGTTAGTTCCTTTTCATAGATTGGTTGCCATCCAAAGTTAGAGAGTCCAATTGACCCGGCTTTTTAATTGAGGGAGGGAAGCGACAGATTACTGCCCTTCTGAAGAGAATCTGTATGAAAGGAAATGCAACAAACCAACTCAGAATTTGAACTTGACTCGCTCATTCTATTTTCGATGCTAATATCCATTACATAACTTGCACTTCCTATCAATAAGTATCAATCATTAAAAACAGGAAAAATAATTCTTAACAGAAACTAAGGGCATGTTTACCCTTTAAAAAATATATCTTACTTATTATAAAACGCAGATTGTTGTGTGTGTGTGTGTGTGTGTGTCTGTACGTTTATATATTGGATCGGATTTCCTACATTTTTCAACCGATTTCAATAAAACTTCACAGGACTATGTAAAATTACCTTGCGGTGGTTCTGACAGTGCCAAAAATTGGAAAAACACAATTGTTTTTGCACAAAATCAATTTGAAAACACGATTCTGTCGCCAGAATGAAAGGGTGGCAATTCATATCGAGTTATGCTTATTATAAAACCCAGGTTGTTTGTGTGTGTGTGTGTGTGTGTGTGTGTGTGTTGTTTTATATATGGGATCGGATTTCCTACATTTTTCAACCGATTTCAACAAAACTTCACTTTTTTTTGGCAGGTAGTGTTTCTTATTGTCTTGCACACTTTTTTCTTTATTTTTACATTCAGAATGCTTTAAAAATTCCATTTACAAGACAATTGTTTATAATAAAATTCTATTCAATCAGTAGAGACTCATAACGATTGAAAACAATGTTTTTGTTTGAGTTTGGGTTTGACCAATTTGTAAAAAAAAAAAAAAAAAAACTAATTAAGTTAGCCCATCAACCTTAAACAATAATCTTTGTCAATTTTATTTTTCAGTCTTTATGATGGTCGATACTTGATCTATCTCTTACTGTTACATCCCCGGGCAACACCGGCCTCTACTGCTAGTTCATATGAGGCTTGGTAAAAAAAACAAAAAACAAATGAAAAAATTTGAAAAAAATATTTCTTGACTTACATTTAGCATTTGGTAAAATATGGAAAGCAAAGTCATAACTCTTGATAATCCGCAACATACTTGAGTAATGATTCCACGTGTCATGGGCAACATACAAATCCTTGTTATCATTTAATAGTTTGATCATCGCCGAGCAGGAGCCTCCTCGAATTGGCTTCTTCTCAGGAAGGTCAAGTGCCAAACTGATGTCACTCAGGTCACTGGCAAACTGCAACCAACTGCAAGTCGACAAAAATATCAATTAAAACAAGTCAGCTATATACATCAAGAATTTTAGTTGTGTTGTAGCATAACTACGGACGATAATAGGTCTGTCCCCATTCCCATAAATACAGTAGTGAATACTGTACGTGGTCTAGAGTTGGAGATTTATTGTGGAATTCGCTTGGCTCGCTTCTAGCAGTTGACTACTTCTTCTATGCACCCCTGGCGAATCTTATATGTGTTGTTCTTGTCCTAAGTATTATCAATTATTACCAACCTTCATTTGATTATTCTATTCAGTAAACTTCTCTAAGTTACAACAAGTAGTTTTGGTTTTTTTGGTTTAAATCCTGAAAGAGACATTTTTGAAATTACAAAACTGTAGAAAAGTGCTTTGAAGAAGACAAACAAATACAAAAAAATGCAAGAAAATCAGCATTATTCATTAATATTGTAAATTGCCAGTTCACACTCCTCCCCAGTCTTTTGAACAGGAGTAGAGGTTTATCCCTTGTTGCCTGTTTAGGACTGGGTTCTAGTTTCTTTTAAAGTCTATTTTAAATCTATACTTCTGATGTCTCTGCCCAAACTCTGAAATTTTATTTACTATTTATTTACAGTATTTACATTAGTCGGACTATTGTCCTCATCTTTGTCGCCATATTTGTCACAACGTTTCGGCCGGACACATGGCACAGTGGATGAAGGCGTTGGTTAGATCCAGTGACAGACCCAAAGAAGGTGAGTTCAATTCCTGGTTAAGGCAGTGGAGAACTTTCAGAGGGAAAATTAGCAGGAGATAACTGATAACTGACATCCATCAAAACATGGCACGGAATTAGAACAGTCTACCCCAGCGATCGAAATAAAGGGTTCAGTTCGAAATTCCAACCACCTGAAGAAGGCCGGAGCGCACAATGGCAAAACGTTGTGACAAATATGGCGACAAAGATGAGGACAATAGTCCGACTAATGTAAATACTGTACATAATACCTCATCTCAGAAATATAGACATACTATTTATTTGTTATTTTTTTACTCAATAGGAGTAGATAGATTTGCCTACTTTTCAGTTCATAATTCTCCCCAGTGTTTTGAACAGGAGTAGAGGTTTATCCCTTGTTCTCTGTTTAGGATTGAGTTTCTAGTTTCTTCTAAAATCTTTTCATTCTTTTTCAGTACCAGTAGCCCCTTGCATCATTGTTGCCTTGCTTGGGCCAAACTGATTAAAAGTTTTTTTTTGTATTTTTTTAAATTAAACTAGATTCTTATGAATTTCTAATTGGTCATGTTATACGAACGCAGACATGCATACAAACTTTAACATAATGATATAGATTACCTTTTACAGAATGTTTTCTTTTTTCTTATTATATCTTTCGTTGTAGAAATCTGAATTATCATCATAAATCCATATTATCATCATAAATCTGTATTATCATCAGAAAAGTGCATTATCATCATAAATTAGCAAAGATGCAAATAGACTAATGGTTAAGTGTTGATGAGAATGCAGCAAGAGAGAATGGATTAAAAATAATAATTAGAAGCCATAAAATGAATTTGGAGAAGGATCTTGGAAGATTCAAACTGAAAATAAAATTCATTATGATTTAATAAAAAAAAAATCTTCCTCACCCTCTCCAGTTCCCTCCACAGCATTATAACAAAGATTTATAATCTTCTAAAATTTCTCAAATTCCAGAGAATAATTCTTGATTGATTGATTTGTTTTTTGACGGCTTATCAACCTTTTGCAGAAGCCAGAAAATAATTTTAGATCATAAGATTTTTTTTGGAGATAATGTTTTTACTGATACATCCAGCTAATTAACCCATAGCTGGGGGGAGAAGAAAGTATTTGCATCTAAGTGAATATAACAAACGCAACTGGAATTGGACCTCAGCTCTCCAATTTACAATTTAAAGCCTTATTCATTACATCATGCATATATGCAAGTTTACAGCATTTGGTATTCCCAAGCGATCAACCATGACTAGACTCGATGTTGTATAACTTTGGTGATCGTACAGAAACAAGTGTTTCAATGTGATATGGTCATAATCCCAGAATAATTCTTGCTTTGGTTATATAAAGTAATATTAGTCCCCCAACTGTTTATATTATTACCAAAATTCAGACCAGTAGTTTGGCATTCCCAAGAGGTCCTTCACTTACTGAACAAAGGGAGGTCCTGAACATCTTATTGAAAAACATACACTTCAGGCAAAAAGTTTGGAGCCATCCTGCATTTCTTTAAAAAAAAACACCTTAAAATGAGATATTTTATTGTTTTTTGAAGTAAAAGATAAAATTTAATCAACTACGGTGTATTTGATTTTATTTTACAGTCTTTCTCCAGGTTACTCTTATTACCAAAAAAATTTAAATTTCGATTTTTCAGTCCACAATACCTTTTGCTAAATTATGAATATTTTGTATGAGAAACATTATTTTATTTTCACCATGAACTCCTCAGTAAACATTTTAAGATTACCAAAATTTTCAACTAAGTTAAATATTAATACAGATTCTAAATATTAACTCAGAACTGACCAATGTTATAGACAAAACATATGCAGCTGTCACTGTTTAAAGAAAAAAAAAAGATTGTGTCATTACAACAATATTTCATTTTTTTTAAATTTATTTTTTAATTTTTAAGTAATTTCCACAAAATAGCTAAATCAAAACAGCTAAGCATTGAGGTGAGGGCACAAACTGAAATTTTATTCAATGAAGGCTACTCTTAAAGACAAATTTCCAAGTTGAAGAAAATCAATGTTCATTATAAAGGCAGTTAGAAACTGGCATAAACGTTGGCAGAAAAAGAGCTAGAGCACCAAAACAGAAGAAAACATGTGATTATTGAGAATAAAAGAAATAGAAAGAAAATGTTTTTTTTCGCTACACAGTTCTAACCATGTTTCAAAAATGGAAGCTAAAAGCTTGAATTTAATTTGTAATTAAATTAAAGACATTAGTTCCATTTCATCCTCGCTTAATTTTGGAGTAATTTATTTTGAATTTACTGAGTTTTAAAGGCACAACAAAAATTCATAATTCATGTTTCCAAGGATACAGAGAAGTCCACTCATCCAGACAAGGGGTGGTTGTATTATATATATATATATATATATATATATATATATATACTAAAGACCAAAAAATTGAGAAAACCCTGCATTTCTTTAAAAAAAAAAAAACACGTAAAATGAGATATTTCTGTATTTTTTTAAGTAAAAATCAAAATTTCAGTTACTATAATGCATTTGCTTTTATTTCTTAGTCTTTCTCCAGGCTCCTCTTACTACCAAAAAGTTTAAATTTGGATTTGTTTGTCTGCAATATGTTTTACTATAATATGAATATTTTGTATGAGAAACATTATTAAATATTAACTCAGAACTGACCAATGTTATAAACAAAACATATGCAGCTGTCACTGTTTAAAGAAAAAAAAAGATTGTGTCATTACGACAATATTTTCATAGTTTTTTTATTTATTTTTTAATTTTCAAGTAATTTGCACAAAGTGACAAAATCAAAGCAGCTATGCATTGATGTCACAAATTGAAATTTTATTCAAAGATGGCTGTTCTTAAAGACAAATTGCCAACAAGTTGAAGATTTCTAGACATGGGGTGCAATACACATTACAAAGGCAGTTGGACTCTGGTACAAATACTGACAGAAAGTGAGCCAGAGCACTAAAAGTGATGACTTCTGCTGAAGATAAACACTTGATTATTGAGAACAAAAGAAAAAGAAAGAAAAACTGCTCCAGAGTTGACAGCTGAACTTAATTCCTCTCAACAGCAACTTGATCTCAACTGTGAAAAATCAATTCAGATCAGTGGGGTTCAGAGAGTGCATAGCCATCAAGAAACCCCTGTTATGGAAGGTGAATAAACAGAAAAGACTTATGGCCAAAAAGCCTAAAAACTAGACATTGAAAGAGTAGCAAAATTTATTGTGGACAGATGAATCCAAATTTGAACTCTTTGTTAGTAAGAGGAGAGTGTGCTTATAAAGCCATGAAAAAGACAGAATTATGAATGGGTGGTTCCAACAGTTAATTAGGTTGGGGGCTCTGTTACAGTATGGGGGTGTTTTGGAGGAGAGAGGCTGAAGATCAAGCTTGATTCAGGTTAAGGGAATCATGAACAATCTCATTCAATTTTGCAGACATACTATAACATATAGTTGATGCATCATTGGAAAAAAATCACCTTTCAGCAAGACAATGATCCAAAACACTTCTAAATTATGTCAAAGTTACCTTGAGTCAAAAAAAAGGAATAACATTTTGGAAATTATGACTTGGCCATGTCATTCTCCTGACCTCTCTCCCTTTGAATAAGTATGGGATGAATTGGATAGGAGAGTTTAAAGAGAATACCCAGAGAGAGAGAGTGAGCTTTTTAAAAGAAAAGGACTGCCATTGACTTTTTTCCCCCAAAATTGTTGGAACAAATGCCAAGAATTTGTAAAGCAGTAATTAAGGAAGGTGATGGTTTTATTGACAAAAGCAAAATATGATGCTGTTGTATCATAATTTGTTTTATAATTAAGTGCTTATTTTTTGTCAAAAATAAGCAAATACACTGAAGTTACTATAATTTTATCTTTTATCTTAATTTAGGTCATTATTTAAAGAAATACAGGGTGACTCTCAAACATTTTACTTGCAGTGTACCATAAATGAAAGCCAGAGGAGTGCATACTTCATTATATAAACAAGACAGGTGAAATCCAGAGGAACAGATGTGATCACACACAAAGAAGATAACAAGAAGTTTGGTCTATGTAAGTCATTCTTCCTTTCACTATTGCTACTGTTTTTGCCACTAACAAACCCATAGACACAAGCCGAGAGAGATGAAAATACAGTCTTAGTTTCAAGCTCTCTTGAATTATAATAATTTACTGCTAGAATAATTTTCCTGCCAAGAGATCATTAATCAGGCTACAGAGAAAGATTAATAATTTTTTACTCCTTCTGTATTTTTAAATTCTTCAATTTGTTTTTAACAAACCCATTTTTATTTATCAACAGACTTTGTTGGTTTTTTGCCATGAACTTGGTTTTCAACAGAAGCAAAGAAATTACAGCAGTTATCAAAATTTCACATCTGAAATTTTGGTAGAATTACAACTGATGTATAAAATCTGGTTACTTCACAGCTTGCTGATATCAACATGTGACAGGCTATGAAGATCAAAAACACTGCCAAGTGACAACACCAAGTGACAACACCAAGTGACAACACCAAGAATACTATGTTTTTGCTTGTGCTGGGACAGAGAACAACAGATCAACAAAATGAGAGTACACAGAAATAAACAAAATCATAATATTGTTGTAAGGAGGAAAAAAAAAAAGGGAATTTCTTTTTTTGGTTGAAACTAAAAAAAAAACCCAAAAAACTACAAAGCCGTTAAGGCAGTCAAACTGTTTCCGCAATTCTTCAAAACCAATTAATCTCTATTCGAAAGTTCAGTGAGGCTCATTCATAAAAATCCTGATGGAAAAACATTCCAGAGAAATTGTCTGTGATAATCAAAGACACCAGATTTGTTTAATTTTACGGATAAATAATTTCAAAATGAATAAGTCATCCCAGCAAACATTGTCTAATCACTGTGTTCTTTCCTTGAATTCATGTTATCTCTCACTGACAGCTATTTATAAATGGCTGACCGAAGTCAAGCACACACACGCATCCCAAGACTTATTGCTACAGGAATTATTTCAACAGTCATGTTCCATAACTTCTTCAACCATTTAACCAGTTTGCGTTATTTTTCAGTATTTTCAGTTTCTTTGGAGTTCACTCTAATATTATACAGGACAGCAAAGTCAATAATTTGACACTTTTTACTTCCTTAATCTATCATGACAAGGTCAGTGTAAAAATGCACAAATTCCTATTTTGTTATAATAGTTTTTCTACCATCAAAATGTCTGTAAATCTTAGAGCTACCAAATAATTTCTTCATATGTAAATTGAAGTGTCAGAAAATAAAGACAGCTACTTAATAATATTCTCTCAGTGAATAACCGTGGTTATGCAACATGGCATGAAGCCAACAAGATGCTAGCGTCATTGCATAGGTATACCTATCAATATCTGAGCTGTGATTCTTGGGTTTGGTTGTCAAAAATTTAGCAAGGATTTTTTTTTTTGGTTAACACTTCAGCTTATGCAAGCTTGCATGTATCAAATCATAAAAAGAGAATGTCTTTGCAATGCTAATCGAAAAATATGCCAACATTTCTTGGAAGAAAAATAACTTAAAATAATCAGTCTGAAAAATCAAAAATGAATTTTTAAATAAAAAGAATTCTGAGGCAAATGCAAATACATTAACAAACACCAACTTTGTTATATAAAACCAGACCAAAAAAATTATAAGAATTTATAAAAAAAAAATTATAATTCATCTATTAATTTTTATTTTTTTTCATTCATTTGCTTAGCTACCTAACTCCAATAAATATTTCAAACTATTATTTTCATCTTAATGTGTGGGTGGTGTTATGATTCTTCTTTGGCATGCCGTGTCTTCTCAGGAAGTAGATGATCATAGCTCTCCACAATTTCCTGTCCTTTTGTAGCTCTTAATAAATTTTGTCTTTTTGTTATTTCTCCTAAACCTTGTTCCGCTATCCATTTACTCGAGCTCACTAAGTATGTTACGTCTCTCTTGCCTTCAATCTCCCCTGTAAGTATCAGATTTTCCAAGCCTTCTTTCCTCATTATCTGCCCCAGAAACCTCAACTGTCTCTTCCTGGTATTAAGTATGAGTTTCGTTTTTGTTTCCATTTTCTCCAAAACTTTTTCATTGCTCACATGTTCAATCAATGGTATCCTCAGAATCCTTCTGTAGAACCACATTTCTGTTGCTTCAAGTTTCGTAGCTTTGAGGAGATCATCCAGCACTCTCTGCCATACAGGAAGACATATCACATATCAGTTTAGTACTCTTTTCTTTGATTCTAGTGAAGTTTTTCTATTTTTTAGTACTGTGCTTCACTTTTGGAATGCTTCTTTGGCTATCCAAACATGCCTTCGGACTTTCCATCCTCTATTTAGAGAAGTCTAATATATTTATTATCAATACCTCTGAAGGTTTTAATAGTTTGAACCTTTCTATAGCTTAACACTTTATTTAGAAAAATCCTTTTATTTGCATAACTACTTAAGCCAATTACAATTTCAAATATTGTTTTTAATTGATTTGATTTTAAAAAATGGCTCATTAATCTTAACACCTGCAAAATTAAACTGTTCTGTTAATCATCTGATAGATCCCTTTCGGCTTTCTATCAGCATGGCTGATGCTAATCTCCAGGTGAGTGACTTGTTATGCCTTTTTGAGTTAACATTCTTGGTTAACAGTGTAAAGATTACACTGAATCCATTGCTGGCTCAGATGCTGAGAAAATTGGTTCGCTGTGTCATGTTAGACAATTTTTCTCCTCTGAATCTATCTTGCATATTTACAAGTATACGATTCATCCATGCTTAGAATATTGCTGCTACATCTGGCCTAGTGCTCCTGCTATATATCTGGAGATCCTTGATAAAATCCCAAGAAGTATCAGCAATATTATTGGTACTGATCTGGCATTTTGGGTTCAGTTGCTTTTCCACTGCCATAAAGTTGTCTTCCTGTGCCTTTTCTATAATTAATTTCGTGGTAATTGTTCAGTTGAGGTCTTTGCTAGTTTTTAAATTGTTGTTTTATTTCATTTCCCTCCCACCACAAACAATGAATTGAACATATGGGGACTAGTTAGGTCTTTCATAGAGACAATGTGGTATTATGGTGGATGTAGTAAGAAAGGTAAGTAAGAATGCATTGTTTTGGTGTTAGTAATATTGTGGTATGTTTTGGTCAGTGTTTGTGGCTAGCTAAGTTTAAAGTTAAGACAGATGAAGACCGCCCTTTTCCCCCATTTCCGATTTAGGCCTTGTGCCACATTTTGCAAATAAATACCACTCTCTGCTTTGGCAACTCTGCCCGAAATAAGGTTAGTGTAGGGTTGTTTTTGGCCTTAGTTACTTCCCTCAAGTTAACTTAGCTAGGGAATGTATGTTCATTGACCCCTTTTATTTCTGTCCCCATTTTCTTTAGTTTAATTACCTCTACCCTCCCTCATTAGGTGGTCAGTGATGTCAGTTCTCTGGTGGATGCGGAACACCTTTTGTTTCAGGTGTGATTTTCGTATTTGTTGTTGAGTTTGAATGAATGTGTGCTTGAGTGAGTGGTTAGGGTGAATGACTGTTTTATATTATTAAAGTCCCGCATTGAATTCATCCAGTTAACTAATGTTTCTTCCACAATTAAAGATTGTTTGGGGGTGGGGGAGTTATTACTAACACTACTTTATTTAGTTTCTTGTGAATAGTTTTAGCTCATATTTGTAAATATTCATTTGGGTTAGATTTTAAATTATTGTTTTATTCCTCCCCCTCTACAGACATGAAGTGTATATATGGAGCCTTGTTAGGACTTTCATAGAGACAATGAGGTATTATGGTGAATGGAGTAAGAAAGGTAAGTGGGAATGCATTGTTTCGGTGTAAGGAATATTGTGGTATGTTTGGGTCAGTGATTATCGCTAGTTAAGTTTAAATTTAAGACAGAAGAAGACTGTCCTTTTCCCCATTCCCCATTTTGGCCTTGTGCCACAATTTTGTATTAAATTACAAATAGATATCACTCTTCACTATGGTACCTAGACTTTATGAGTATAAGAACAGTACTAGACTGGCAACAAAGTCTCACCAATATACAGCCGAGTTGACTAGATGTAACTGTAAATTCTATGCTAACAGTTTCTTTTCTCTCACTTCTCGCTTGTGGAACTCCCTCTCTTTTCTATACTTTCCAGCGAACTTTAATCTGCAAAGTTTTAAATGCAATGTCAATCACTTTCTATTGTCTTCCTGATTACTCTCCTTTTGTTCTCCTTCCTTAGTAAAGTTTTTGTTTTCTAATTCTTCCACACCTAGCAGTAACCCCTTGTGTCCTAATAACTTTACTGCCTTGGTTGGGGTGAAATTGATCCAAAAAGGGAAAAAAAAAAAAAAAGGCTTATCAATCTTTTGCAGGTTATTTAAAGCCAGAAAATATTTTAGATTGTATGAATTTTTTGGAGATAATAATGATTTACTGATATAAGCCCTACTAATTGATCCATAGCTGAGTGGAGAAGAGGTGGATCCATACCTTTCCCAACAGTATTTGCCCATAAGTAAATATAACAAAACTCAACTGGAATTGGAACTCAGATCTCAGATTTCCAAATCTGAGCCATTATCCATTGTACCATCCACATATACAAGCTTACAGCATCAGGTATTTCCAAGCAGTTACCCATCTAAGTACTGACCAGGCTCAATGTTGCTTAACTTCAGTGATCATACAGGAACCAGTGTTTCAACAAAATATGACTGTAATCCAATTTCAAATATTACAATAATACAAACATTAACTGAAAACATTTACAAATATTTAGAAAAATCAAATATATCTATTATCTCATAAGTTATTAATAGTTAGAATATAGATTAATACTTTACTTCTAAATTTTTTCTGAACTTATCCAAAAAGGTACATCATCCACGGTAAGATGATAAACTATGTCCAACAGCAAGGCCTCTGATCAGGAGGTTTTGAAGAGCATAGAACCACCTAATTGCTGGTATTCCCAGGTCCACCCTGACCCTGGGTGGTACCACCTGTTAGGGTCCCAACTATGGGCAAATAGTTAACCCCCAAACTTGGGTCAAAGCATTGTGAAAGTGTAAAAATAGGTTTTAATACCAGCAATGAATGTTTTGAGGAAAAATTATTACCAGCCATACATTTTTGAAGAAAAAAATATTACCAGCAATACATTTTTGTAAATAATTATTACCAGCAATGCATTATTACCAGCAATATATTTTTGAAAAAAAAATATTACCAGCAATAAAAATCTTGTTGACATTAAATAACACATTGAGGTTGATATGCCATAAAACAAAACAAACCAAACCAAAATGTACATAAAATGGTAATATTTGCCATTTCATTCAGGAATCATTCACTTATCTTGTCCCTACTTTCTCAACCGATATGCCTGGGTGCACTAATGTACCTTAAAAGGTAGCCGGATGCAGCCCAAGTTAACAGAAGAGTAATTTATGAATTATTTTTATATTTAAAAAATCTTATTTGGACTATTATCCTCATCTTTGTTGCCACATTTATTACAACGTTTCGGCCATGTTTAATGGATGATGACATCCATTAAACATGGCATGTGGAACTAGAACAGTCTACCCCAGTGAGCAAAATAAAAGGTTCAGTTCAACATTCCAACCACCTGAAGAAGGTCAGAGTGTATAATGGCTGAAACGTTGTAATAAATATGGTAGATTAGAACAATAGTCCAAATAATATAAATAGTGTACATAATACCTCATCTCAGAAATATAGACAGATATTAAAAAATCTTTATTTTAAAAAATCTAGAGATCCCAACCACAGAGCTTCCATGTCTAAGTTAAATCCTTGTAATTTGATACTTTAAACTGAATGTTAAATTCGTTAATCTTTAAGAAAAAGTGGATAATCCTTTCCCTTTTGCCTTCCTTAAGGGATTTAGATTGGTCATTATCAACCTCTCTAACAAAAATAGCAGATTCTTCATAAATGAAAACTGTATTGCTAATCTTTGAGAATGCTAAACCAAAATTTAATATTTTCAAATTTTATGACAAATTTTTTCTTATTAAAATTTAAAGTGCACCCTAAAGTTTTAGTTATTTTACAAATGCACTCTGAAGTAAAAAACGGTTGAGAAACATTGAGAGAATATCACAGACATTACATCCTCTCATCCGAACACTTGATTACAAAATTGAATTTATTTCCGGAAATCATATTATTCTTAGAAGATGTTACTTGATTTTCAATAGTCCTTCCTTAGAAGACATTATAAATACTTTTATATTTAAAAAATTATCATTCATCTATTCATTTAATCTTATTTACTAGGCTACTCAAGCCAATTTCAATTTCAAATCTAATATCTTATAAGTTATAAACAGTTATACTTTTATCACATGTCCAAAACAGAAATCCCTGGTTAGGCATAAAATTCAAATCAAAAGTTGCATTAATATTTAACATTCAATTACATAAAAAATCATCTCAATCATATTAGCAAGCAAATTTTACATCATGCAAAAACGTCTTTTAAAAAAGAATAAATTGAAATATGTTTATATCGGAAAATAACATCTTCATTTTTCATTTGGTTTTCATTTTCTAGTTTAAAAAGAAGTGCATAAGTTTTATTTTTTTTGTTTATTTGTGTGTGTTTATGTGTGTGCAATTGTGCATGTGTGTGTGCAAGTGAGTTCATGCATGTATGTGTATATGTCTGTGCATGTGTGTATGCAGTCCATATATAAAAAGTCCATAACTATATTTGAAAAGTAAGAATCAGTTGCCTTTTGGATAAATATAATTGAATTTTAATTAAGAATTTTGCATCGTACCAACATCATCCAAAATAAACCAAAAAAAAAAAAACCCTTAACTGGTCATCCGAAATGGATATTCCCAGGAAATGACATTAAATTCAAGTCCTGCTAGATATGATGTTTTATATGGAATTACCAAATAAAAATAAAGCCAAAATTAATACTCTTTGTCTAAGTTGTTGTTGAAAAAAAAACCCCAAAAAACTGTTTTTTGGGGTTTTTTTTTTTCAAATTTGCCACATTAAGATTTGGATATTTCAAATGAGGCAAAAATGAGAAGCCATATAATGTGACTGGTGAAAATTTGCAGCTAAAGGGATATACAATTGAAATAACAAAAGTTATTAAATTATTTAATTTCTAAAATTCTGGCTGGCATTTAAGTTGGAAAACAGTGAAAACAATTTCTGATCTGTTCAACTTTATAAACCTGTTCATCAAAGCACCTTCAATGACTTGACAATATGCTCATCATGAGATATGTCATGAACATTTCATAATCTTGTGATGTCTATTCTTTATCTCAATTCTTTTTCCAGTTTTTTTTTTTTTTTTTTTTTATTTTGGAGGAAATCTGGATGATATACTCAGTTAAAGAATCCTACTTTACTTAGATTATAAATCAAGAATTTCTGTTAATTTTATTTTTATTTTAAGAACCATTTCACCCTAAGCAAAGCGATAATGTCACTAAGACGCAATGGTTTACTGAGAGTGAAAGTGAATGAGAAGACTTAAGAAGATAGAACTGGAAATCCAATCCTAAACATGAAACAAGGAATAAACCTCTACTCTTGTTCAAAAGACAGGGAAGGAGTGTGAACTGGGTGATAGGTGACTGCACCACTAGTCAATAACTGAGTGTATTGAAGCATTGACTCTTTGGTGGCATAATAATTTTGAGTTTAATCCCTGTGCCTGGTAGTAGAGATCTGGAAATAGAGTGAACAATAACTGAACAGTACTAAAAACAACAAGATATATCCTTAGACTTGAGCTGAGAACAATCTACCTGGCTTATATTAAATAAAGAGTCCCGTTCAAATTCCTGAAAGTTACCTGGATCAATACACACATGAAGGAGGCCCGAGGCCACAATGGTCAAAATGCTGTGATAATAACAACAAAGATGAGGATGTTATTCTGGATGTAAATAGAAAACATCACCATAAAGTTACCCCTCAACCACCCCAGACAGTTATCAACTTCAAGTTACACCTGTTCTACAACATGAAAGCTTCAAAAGCAAAAATAGCCTATCTTAACTAATTTTGTGGTACTGGGAATAAAACTAATATCCAAAATTGTTGATTGGCTCTAGATTTCAAGATACAGTACTTGTGTTATAAGAATATTTCCTCAAAATGGTTGTCCTTGTCAGATTAATTATTATTCTCTTGATAACTTTATTACATATAATTATTCTGCTGATAAACTAATTATTATTCTCATGATAACTCAGGATTTTACACATTTAACTGGCCTGTGAAAAATGTCTTCTGAATGCTTGAATGCTATGTGTGTGGGGAAGTGACTTTTGCATCTTAAAACGAATATATAACACCTGTCGTGAGAAAATCTTGCCAACTATATTTTGGATGTAAAATTGGATTGAAAGACAAAAATTGGGTGCCATACATATGCTGTAATACCTGAGCAACAAATCCCAATCAATGACTAACCAAGAAGAAGAAAATCTATGCCTTTTGCATGGCCCATGATTGGGACAGAGAGCCAACTGATCATGCCACTGATTGCTACTTGTGCAGGCAGCCTCCAATTGCTAAGGGACTGTCAAAGAAAAAGAAATGGACAGTACAATATCCCACCATGAATGAAGATATACCAGTCCCAGAAGCACAGGAATCATGAAATTGAAAACATTTATTTGATGGAGAAGACAATGAAACCTCAGAGCCAGAACCATCAACTACATATGACCAACATTATTGTCCAACATCCGTCTCTAAATCACAACTCAAATGGCATAAAGTTCAGATCATAACAGATGCTTCTTTGTGTCTACTCATAATAACTGACCTGAAGGACTTAATCATTTGGAACTTTCTAAGGATAAAGCAAAACTGTTAGGTTCTATGCTACAGCAGTGGAATCTATTAACTGGCGATGTACAGATTTCCTATTTTCAGGATCGTCACAAGAATCAAATTTCATTCTTCCTTATGGAAAGTGATTTGGTGTACTGCAAACCAACTTCCCCATTTAGTTGTCTGAGGAGATTAGTAGTGTTATGCAATCACTTAATACCAGTTACAATCCAGAGGAATGGAGGCTGTTCATTTATTCCTCGAGGGCAAGTTTCAAAGCTGTCATTTTATATAATCATAATGTTTTACCCTCAATCCCAGTTGGTCATGAAAGAAACTTATGACAATATGAAAGAACTAGTGAGATGTATCAACTATTATTAATATAACTGGCAACTTTGTGGAGATTTGAAGGTTGTTACTGTCTTGTTAGGACTACAAGGTTGAATATACCAAGAAAGGTTATTTTCTTTGTGTGGCGGATATGAGACAGAACCTGGGACAAGCACAACTGGTAGCGACTTGCCTTGTCCCCGCCAAAAAAGAGCCCATATTTGCTTAGCATGTAAAGCTACTGCAGTTGAAATGAGGGAGAAAAAAGCACTTACTGCTCTGCCGTAATCTGTCCTCGGCCAGATAACGTAAAAAAATGAGGGGGGACTTGCATTACATTTTTATGCAATAAAGATGCAATGCATTATGGGAGATGGACGCAATGAATTATGGGATCACATGAAGACGCAAGGGATTATGGGTATATGGACACCTATAAAAGCAACTATGTTTTTCCAAGTGGAGCAGTTCTTTGAGTGACGTTCACTGTTGGCAGCAAGAAAGGTCTGTTAGTGTGATTTTGAGACA